GTATATAGTCTTAACACTAAACAACCTTAGGAAGGTGTGTTTAATGTTTAGTTTATTCTTTACATAGACTAAGTAGCATTTAGCTTTGTAATAAGCTGCAAACTATTTATATATCTTGCATTATATATACCTCTAATCCTGTCCAACAGGACTGTTTGACCCGGCCACCATACTGCCGCACATAGGGCAAACCACGATCCGGTCACTCTACCCCTCTCCATAAGCCCATTAGCCTGTACGTAGGACTGTACACCCTACCGGATTGGCCCCTACACTCCGTCCTACTCATCCCCTAGGAATATCATAAGACCCGAGTGCTTCCCCGAAGCAAGGATTGTAACAGCTACTAGCCTGCTTAATGCTTGTTGTTCTAGTGTCTAGTGCAATACTATTACGTGCACTAGTACTAAGGGTATAGACAGTTATTAGGTTTATGTAAAGTGTTAAAAAGACTTTTTTAAGTCTACTAAAAGTATTCCTATGTTTGTACTACCTGTAAAGGGTGTCCCTTTTATTAGTAATTGTTAGTGCTGTAAGAGTTGCTTCTATAAAGCATGTAATGCCTATAGTTCTGTTGCATTACTAGAGCCTTCCTGCTAATTGCTAGGCCTAGAAGTAGTGTTTTAGGTTTTCTAGAAACTAGTTTAGGGACCTTAAACTTAGCAGGTCTGCTTAGTCCTTCTAGTTTTTAATCTTAGATCTTAGTAAAGAATTACTATTATTTTTATTTATTTATAATGTTATATTTAACTCTAGCTATCTACTGTATTATGTTAAATGTAAAATAGTTATTACTAATGTTTATCTAATAAAGCATAACTATGCATTTATTAGAGTAGTTGTGTTATAGACTACACTTCTAACATTTATACTTTTAAAACTATTTAGAAAGCTTTTTACTAAGGTGCTAAAGGTCTAATTATAAAAAAGAAACTAATTTTTTTTTTTTTAATATTTATAATGTATTTTTAAATCTAGGTTTTTTCTTTAGACTTTTTAAAAATTATAAGGTTCTGCAACACTTTATTTAAACTTTTAAAGTTTTAGATAACTACTTTTTAGTATGCTTTAAAGTAGTTTTTTAAAAAATAGTTTTCTTTATATTACTAGTAAAGTCTGTTGTCTAGTCTTTCTAATATTTCTTCTTCTATAAGGCTGTATTTAGTAGTGATAGCTTTTACTGTTATAGTAGTATTTTTATTCTTCTCTTTATAGAAGTTTAAGTAATTTTAGTAGAAATATCTTACTTTTTTATAGTTTAGGTAGGCCTTATTCTCTAACTCCTTTTATTATTCTTTAGTTAAAAGCAGCCTATTATGTTCTAAAACTTAGTTTTTCTTTAAAGAGAGGCTTTATATATGCTTTATGTAACTAAGGTCTATTAGCTTTTTATTATACTAAAAAGACTTCTTTTTCCAAGAAACAAACTTTAGTTTCTAAAGAGTTTCTTTTTACTATTTTTCTCTTTTACACTTTTTATAGTAATTATTATAGGTTATTACTTATATAATAAAGCTTTTAAAAGTAGTTAGTTTATTGTTATACATAAATTTATCTTTAATTATGTTACTTAGCCTGTTATAAAACATGTAATAAAGGGCCTTCTAGTCTATCTATCTGAAGATAGCTAACTGCTCTCTAAAGTGTACTACATAGTTCTAGGCTATGCCTTTCTTATTTTAAAGTGTTTAATTTATTAGCTATAATTTTTTATTTATCTATGGTTTTATAAATAGCTATTAAAGTGTTTTTAAAAGCTTTAACACTACTAAACACTTCTTTAGTTTTAGAAGTAAGTGTTATGCTATTAGCTCTAAAGTCTATCTAGTTATTTGCGTGTAGCTAGAACTAAATTATAAAAAAGCCTTCTAGGTGTAGTCTTATCTAAGATATTATTTCTGCATTAGTTTAAAATGCTTTTTTATTATATCACATGTAAAAGTAGCATCTAGTAAAAAAAGAGTAAAAGTTCTTTAGCAATCCTTTAAAAGGCTTTAGAGGGGCTAATCTTAAAGTCTTTTTAGCTATAATGCTTGTTCTTTTAGTTAAGATATTCTAGAGTTTAGCTAGCTCTACTTATAGCGCGTGTATTTAGTGTGCGGAGCTAGTAGCTTATTATAGGTTTATAAGTAATAGAGAGTTATTAAATTCTGCTACTTTCTAGTAAAGGTTTTTAACTTCTTTTTAAAAATTTACTAGTTTATTTATTTTATTACTAATCTACTAAAGTTTCTTAATTTTATTTTAAATTATGTTAATCTATTCTACTAGAACAGCTGTACTTTAAGTAGAAACTTCTGTAGATTCTAATAAGGCTATGTAGGCTATATTAGAGTCTAAGTTATATTAAGTAGTTATACTTTTTAATAGGGGTAGTATTTAATGTTATAATTCTTACTTTAGGGAAGCACTTAGGTTAATATTGTTCCTAGTAGGGTAGGACAGAGGGTAGGGGCTAACAGTAGAGTGTACAGTCCTACGTAAAGGCTATTAGGCTAATAGAGTAAAGTAGAGTAACTAGATTATAGTTTGCCCTTAAGCAACAGTATAGTAGCTAGGTTAAACAGTCTTGTTAGACAGGGTTAGAGGTATATATAGTGCAGATATACAAATAGTATTGCAGCTTATTGTAAAGCTAGAATGCTACTTAGTCTATGTAAAAAATAAACTAAATGTTAAACACACCTTCTAAAGGTTATTTAAGGTTAGAACTATATACATGTTCTTATAATATTAAAATAAGCTAGATAAGTTTATGTAAGCCTGCTAAGCGCAGCTCTATAAACTCTCTTAGGCTTGTTAGATTTGTAGCCTGCCTTCCTATTAGATGACGCATTCTTCTATGACTGCAGGTAGCTGCGCCGCTTCCGTATCCTCCGATTGGTCCATCGCGAGCCCTGTCCCAACCCAATTGAATTGTGGAGCACTACTAGTGGAGTTACGTCGGTCCAACCATAGACCGTAACAGTAAGCTTTAAATACTAGAGCTTAAGTGCGTTTTTAAGCCTATATAGAGCTTAAAAAAGTTAAAGAAGTTGCTAAGAGTAATAGTAGCCTAGTAGCAGTTTATAATTGTTAGATATGCGCACCTACTATCAAGACAGGAGGAATGCTTGACGAAAGCTGCCACATAGTACGAGCAATAAGCTCGAACAGTATGTTGCTGCAAATTGCAGCATTTTGCAGTATTTTGCAGCAAATTGCAGCATTTTGCAGTATTTTGCAGCAAATTACAGCATTTTGCAGCAAATTGCAGCAAATTGCAGCATTTTGCAGTATTTTGCAGCAAATTACAGCATTTTGCAGCAAATTGCAGCAAATTGCAGCATTTTGCAGCAAATTGCAGCAAATTGCAGCATTTTGCAAGCTGGTCGCGTATGGGGCAAGTGCGCGAGGGACTCGGATCGGCAAAACAAAAAGCCGAGCAACATAAGTAGAGCAGAAAAAGGATCATCCCAAAAACACAATCAATCAATCATCCCATACATCATATCCAAACCCATCATTCATCTTAGGAAGCCTAGAAACAGTGCTTCAATCTGACAATAATATGCTAGGGTTAGAAGCTAAGCGTTAATAAACGCGTTAATAGCGTTGTATTGTTATGTAAGCAGGCTAAATAAAGCTATAATAGCAATAAGCGCTCTAAAGACGCGTGCTGCTAGAGTAGCACTATATGTTTTAGCTATAGTAACCTAGAGGTTACCTTATACACAGAGATAAGCTTTAAATTTAGTTAAAAAAAATTTTAGCATTAAATTTATACTTATATACTTATTTTAAAGGTATTACTTAAGTATCTATAGCCTTTATAATAAAGACTAGCTTAAATGCTTCTTTTTAATAAAAGTTAGTAAATTTAATCTTTATAGCATGCTTCTAGCTGTCTAGGAATTAGTAGTAGTGTGCCTTATAAAAGGTTTTAGGCACAGAAGGTAGATAGTTTTAATAAAAAGCTTTAAAAGTAATAGTAGTAAGTTTAGTAAAGTCTTTAATAAAGCCTAATATAAAGGCATAATACTAGCTAGACAGTTTAGTAGTAGTTTGTATAAGTGTAGCAGCATGTTGTTAACGCCTTGTTCTGCTTTCTCTTTTTATAATGTTTAATTTATTAATAGCAGCTGTGCTTCTAGTAGGGCCTAGTCTAGTAAAGTCCTTAAGCTATGTATAAAAGACAAAGTTAGCTCTTTTAAAAATGTTCTAAGACTTATAATTAGTTATAGCTATATGCTAAGTAGTTCTAGCTTACTTAAAGTAATTATTATTAGTTTTAAAGTCTATAGCTGTGTTACCTATTTGCAGATAAACTTTAATAACTAATAGTGTTTTATTATTAGAGCTATTATCTAGCATGTTGCTAAGGTTATTTTAGAAGACTAAATTAATATTAGTTTTTTTTTTAAGTTAACCTTTAGAATAGTTTCTAGAGTTATTTTAGAAAAAAGTAGGTAATAGAGGGAGCCTATCTAGTGCTTCTTATGTGGCTAATTACTAGGTCTGTCATTACGCTCTTTAAGCTATAGAAGCTGTGGAGGATAAAATAGCCTGGCAGTAGCTGTTCAGAAGATCAGATAAAGTGACTCTCCTATCTAAGAGAGCTGAGGGCTCTCCTTATATACACCAAGCTTCAGAACATAATATCTCTAGATCCTAAGCTGCGTCCTAGGCTCTGAGCCCCAGTCCTAAGCTCTGAGCCCCAGCCAAGGCTCTCAGTATAGGCTCTAAGCCCCAGCCAAGGCTCTCAGTATACGCAACACACCCCCTAGGTGAGCTGCTGCGCAGCTCACCTGCGTTAAGCGTCAACTTAGCTTGTTAGAGCAGCGCTGCGCGTTTACCCTGTGTTTATGCTTGTTGCCCTAGGCAGCGCAATGCTTGTTTCCTTAGGCAGCGCAATGCTTGTTTCTCTAGGCAGCGCAGGTCACATGCGTGCTGTAATTGCTGCAACAGAGGTAAATAAATTCTCCTACTTCTTAAGCTTCTCTTTTATAAGTCTTAATAACATGCTATGTGTAAGTTAATGCTTTTAAAAGCTTTAAAAAGAACTTTAAACTTGTCTATAATTTCTACTAATGTGCATCTGTAGCTTAACAAAGCTAAAAGAGCTGCCTGCTTGCGTGCTGCTGCTCTGCGGGGCCGCGCTGCCCGCAAGCCCGCGCCCACTACCCCCCGCCGCGCTGCGCCCACCACCCCCCGCCGGCCTACGCGTATCCGCAAGCCCGCGCCCACCACCCCCCGTCGCCCTGCGCCCACCACCCCCTGCCAGCCTCCCCCTAGTGCGCTCCGCGCGCAGTCCTGTCTAGGCTGCATAAAGAGTGCGCTTACAGGGCGCTCTAGTAAAAAGTGCTATAATTCTGCTACTAGCAGTTTACGCTGCTAGCGCTGTTTCTCTAGGCACAGCTGCCTGCCCCTGTAAGCCCTGTAGCAGTGTGTAGGGTGATCTAGCTTTTAACCTATTTGCAGTCCCCCTGTTGCTGTTGTCTATGCGCAGCAGTTTGTTGCAGCGCTTATTGCAAAGGATAAGCAGGTAAGCTTCTCTGCAGAGATTGTGCGTTATACCTTAGATTAGACTAACAGGCTATAAGCTGTGTTTTAGCTTTAGCTAGTTCTTTAAGCTCTACTTAAAAAAAATGTAGTAAAAAAAAAGAAAAGAAAAGAAAAGAAAAAAAAGAAAAGAAAAAAAAGAAAAGAAAAAAAGAAAAGAAAAAAAAAGAAAAAAAAAAGGTAGAGAAAGTAGTGAAAAAAAAGAAGTAAAGTGTTGTCTTTTCTAAGCTCCTAGCGCGTTACTAGCGCGCTAAGGAACTTTTAAGTAAGCTTGTTAATCTTCTTATAGTTTAAGCGTTCTATATTTTTACACATCTTATGTACTAAATCCCTACTTAATCTTTATAGCATAAAAGAGTGTTTTTGCTAGTAGATAGCCCTTTTATTTCTAGGCAGTATAAAGATGTCTTTACTATTAATAATTAATAATTTTTTTAAAAGCTTGTTTATGTGTTTTTAAACTTAAAAAGCTACTTAAAGTGCTTAAATTACTATTTTAGTAAGTGCTTTATAAGTCTATCTACTAGCATGTTACTTATTTTAATATAGCGCACTTTAAAAGATCCTTTTACATGCTCCTAGCGCAGCTACATGTTCTAGATATTAATGTAGCGCAGGTAGGTAGTTATCTAGGCGTTCTCCTCTACTACTAACTAGATTGTCTGCTAGTTGTTATAGTAGATTTGCTATAGTGTGCCTAGCTCTAGAGTAAGCTTTTTAAAGAAGCGTTTTAAAGCTAGTAATTCTTTTATAATGTGCACTAAAGTAAGCAGCTTAGCTTTTATTATAAATATAGTTACTGTTAGCTAAAAAGCTACTTTTTATAAAATTAGTTTTTTAAAAAGTAAGATAATATATTTATAAAATAATTATCTAGTCTTTGTGTAATTAGTAAAACACACATTTTTACATATAATAAGTTACGCGCCTTCTAGTGCTTTACACTGTATGCCTGTATGCCTTGTACAGTATAGGTACATAATTGCCTAGTTTACTGCCTAGAAGTGCTGCTTTTCTAGGTTTGTTAAGTAGTAGAAGAGCTAGGATGCTGCAAACGCCACGCTAAAGCGCACTATAATTACAGTGTAAAGTGTTAATCCTACGCGCTCTTAGTATTTCTTAATTTTGTGCTTTAATGCTAATCTTTAGTTGCTTATAAGCTCTTCTAATAGTAAAAAAGTCCTTAAGAAGAGTGTGCTTTCTGTAAGGTTAAACTTCTTTACTACTTTTTTAATATACATGTTATGTACTAGCTAGATTATTCTAGCCTTTTTATTTTTAATTATTTTAATCTTTAAAAACTATTTACATAGCTTTTAATTTTCTAGCTTATATATTTTTTTAATTATATTAAGTAATTAGTAAGCTTCTAACTTATTATTATAGTAATAAATATAAAGTATGTTATTTATATAAAAAAGTAAGATATAGTAATTATAGTTAAAAAATAAGTATAGTTTCTTTTTAAATAAGATAAGCTTAAGCTTTTAAAAAGCGTATAAAAGTTTCTAGTACTATAAAATTAGTAAGTTACATAGTCTATATAAGGCTTATAAAAGCTTAACATATATGCTAGGCTTTGTAAAGCCTTCTAGAAGCTTACATGTTACTTCTAGCTTACCTTTATAGTGTGTGTTTAGAAACACGCTTATAACATTATATTACTTAATCTCTAGGTTAAATTAAGCTGCTATTACTATTACTATTTAGAAGGATTTAGCTGCAAAAGTAGTAGCATAGGTTAACTAAAGCAAGTCCTTACTCTAGAAATTACTATATACGCAAATATAAGCTTTACATTTAGTAAAACACTTATTTTAGTTACATTTATACATAAATACCTACTTTAGTAGAAGCAGCTTAGATATTACTTTAGTTTATATAATCTCTTTTTAAGTGCCTTTTTTAAGTAAGGTAGCTATCTCTTTTTATACTATAATTTTAAAAAAAAATTTATCTAAGTACTTATATAAATCTTTTTATTTTAAGAGTTTTTTTAAGAGCTTATAAGCTCTTAGTTAAGGCTGCCTATAAAAGGCAGCTATAAAAAACACTGTGTAAAGTGTTTTAAGCACTCTATTATTATGAGTAATAAATGCTTTAAGAAAGTTTATTTAAAGGTGCTTTAGATTAACTAAAGTAATGCGTATACTACTTCTCTCTAAAAGCGTTATATATATACTTTTGCTTCCTGCACCTCTAGGCTTACCTAAGTTATTAAGTTATTAGGATCTTACCTCTATATTTTTTAGCTTATATGTGTAGCTAGTCTCTAGCTCTTTTTATTATACATATATTTAAAAGGGGCCTTACCTACTTTAACTAAAGCTATAGAAGACAATGTTTTAGTGTAATAAGCAAAAGTTAATTTTTTAACTAGCAAGTTAGCTATTTAACTTAATAAGCCTAGTAAATCTACTTTTCTAGTTAAGTGCACTTACTAGGGATTACTAGTATGCTTATGCCTACCCTGTATAAAGCGTGTTATAGAGCTATTTATAAGCTTTAGCTTAGAAGTTAGCTCTAGAGTAATAAGTGCTATATATTTATTAGAAACTGCGCAAATTCTTAGTAACTTACTTATTATGCTTATTACCTACATAGTTACTTTTACTTTTAAGTGCTAATTCTTTAGCTAGCTAACTTAAGTTTTAATAAGCTTTTTAGTTTCTACACTTTTAAGCTTACACTCTTAAAGCCTTTAAATTAGTATATTACTTTACTGCTTATTTAACTTTTCAAGTAAAAGCTTAAAAGCTTTTTTTATATTATAAATTTTACTTTACTTATTAAAAATTTTAATAATTTTAAAAGCTTTTTTTTAAAGAATTAGCTTATTACTTTTATTCTTATAAAAGTGTGTCTTATTAAAAGCTATATTTCTTATAGTAATTACTTAGTTAAGTAATAAAACTTATATTTTATAGATATTTAAAGCTCTGTAGCCTATAAGATATCTTATATAGCCTTATAAAGTTACTTTAAAGCTTTACTTCTAACGCCTAGCTGCTTGCTCTCTATTAAGTAGGTAGGCGCAATAGCTATATGCGTATATTTTGCTCTAATTAGGTTTTAGATTAGCTGTAGCACTTCTTACTTACTTTAGCTTATAGTATTAAAAGTATTTAGTAAACTACATGTCTAAGACTTTATTTAGTAAGTGTAGGTTATGTGTGTGCAACAGGCTTATATTATACAGCTATGTTGCTGTGTCTACTACTTCTAGCTAGAGCTTCTTAGAGAGTCCTGCGTTACTTCTTATTTTAATAAACTTTATAATTATTTTTTATTTAGCTTTTTTTATAGCTTTATTTAGCTTATAAGTGTATAGCAAAAAGCTTTTAATATTAATGCTAGATTTTTTTACTTAAAGCTTATACTTTAACTTTTTATACTAAAAAAGTGTAGTAGTGTTATTTTTTTACTATATTTTACTAATCTAAAGCTTATATTAATTAAACACTATACTTTTAAAGTTTTTTATTACTTTTTAGATTTCTAAAAGTGTTTTTACTTAAAAAGAGTATAAAAAGATTTTACTACTGTATTTATTCTTAATAATTATTATTTATAGAGCTCTGCTGCGCCCTAATAGCATATTAAACATGTTCTATGTAACTCTCTAGAATAGGCAGGGAGCTTGCTTTTTTAGTCTTCTTAATATAACCTACTTAGCATAGGTTGTTGCGCAGTGCTTATAGTGTACTTACTTTATACTTATTATTTATATGTTCTTTATGCTTTTAACTAAAGCCTATAGAGCTTTTAGACCTAAGTGTTCTATATGTGTATACTAAAGCTCTTTTAAGTCTAAGTGTAAGAATATAGTTTATAAGCATTAGCAATCTAGAAGCACACTTTACACTAGTAGGTAAAAAAAGACAGCTTTATATTTAATAAACATAAAGTTATGTTCTTAGTAAAGTATTATAAGTACTCTATTTTTTTCTAGCGTGCTTATGCGCAGTGTATAGTTAAGTTTTAAATGCTATAGTCTTTTTTTTTAAATAAGCTTTTAAAATAATATTAATATAAAATCTTTCTACTATAACTACTTTCTATAGTATAAGATCTTCTGTGCGCTTTTTCTATACTTTATTTAATACCCTTCTAAGCTTTCTAGTTTTTATTCTTTAAATTAAGAATAACTAGGTGCTAGCTTTTACTATATGTAAACCTTAAGCTTTTTTAAATAACCTAAGTATAAGCAGCTTTACACTATTTACTAAGTGCGTAGCACTTTTATTGTCTAGAATTATGCTTATAAAAAGTAGGTAAGTGTTAAAATTTATAGTTATATGCATCTCTAGTTTTACTAAAAGCACTAAGTTAATAAGTATAGTAATAATGCTTTTTAAAAATGCTAGCTTATTTAATTCTTTAATAGCTTTTAAAGTAGAGGAGGCTTTATTTAGAATTATGTAGCTTTTTTTAAGCAGTACAGCTTTTACTTTTTTATGCTACGCTTACTTAAGCCTTTTAAAAATTTTCTAGTATGTAGTTTTACTAAGCTTCTTTAGCTTTTTAGTAACTGCTAATATAAAGTCTTTACAGTCTACTGCTTTTTATAGATAAAGAAATTATCTTAAAGCTCTACATAAGCATAGGTGGCCTAATTAGGCTAAAATAAATTAGGCTAAATTATTATCTAATTATCTGCTAAGTGTTATAAATATGCCTATACCTTAGTTACTTACGCGTAAGGAGTGCCTTTAAAGCATTATTAAAAAAATCTTGCTAATTTTCTAGATTATTTAAGGTTTCTTACTAATTGCGCTAGCCTCTATAACCCTCTAGTGTATAGAGCGCGCCTAGTCTAGTGCAAGCTTTAGAGCTAGGGCGTCTAGAAAGTCCTATGCAGCTAGCTAGCCTTTTATGTTAAGAATCTTATAGGTCTTTGCCTTAGTGTACAGAAAGTGCTACTACTAGTACTAAGCTTCTAGAGTTATAGTGCTATGCTTTACCTTAGTAAGGTACGCTTTATACTTTACTTATATAAAATTCTTTATACTTATATTTATTAGTGCTAGCTTTTATTTTAAGGCTTATATAAGTGCCTATAAAGTAGATTAGTTTTTTAATATAAGCTGTATTA